AATCCCAGCTACTTGGGAGGCAGAGGCAGGAGAATCACTTGAGCCCAGGAGTTGGAGGTTGCTGTGAACTGTGATGCCACAGCACTCTACCCAGGATGACAGCTTGAGGCTCTGTCTCAAAAAAAAAAAAAAAAATTGCAAGTGCAGACAAGTAAGAAGTACTGTTTGGGATGGAGACAACATCTGAAATAGAGTTGTCTGAGTGAGTAGCTGCTGCAGGGGCTTGGCCAAGGAGGCCTGACATTGGATGCAGGAAGCCTTGGGCTATGGTAGAGACAAGGGTCCCAGGCAAGGACAAAGCAGAACAGAAAGGCTGGTGAGGATGCACGTGTAGACAGTGAGAGGGCGGGAGTGGCTGAAGTGCAGTGCGGGAGAGTGCCTCGGGGCTGAGGCTGGCGGGGCTGAGGCTGGTGGGGCCCCCGGGGCTCAGAGGCGGTAGAACCCTGCAGGCTGGAGCCCAGCATCTGGCCTCTGCCCTCACTGCAGTGGAAGCCTCGGGACAGCTCTGAACCACCACGTGATCTGAGCAGTTGTTCAGGCTGCAGTGCAGCCAACAGACTCTGCGGGCGGGAAGCTGCCTTTGAGTTTCCGCGGGGATCCCCATTCTTTGGGCTTGGAACCTTGTCCTATTCTTGTACAGCATGGTGTGCTCGTTGTGGGGTCCAAGCAAAGAATAACATAACAAACTAAGTGAAGCAAGAGTCGGTTTGGATATCAAGAAGGTCCTGGTAAAGTATCCGTAGTACACAGGCTCAGAAACAAGTGTAGACCACGAAGGCAGACTGATGCCAGCCGGGGATCAGAAGGACTGGTCTGAGCATCCCCAGAAGTCACGCGCCCAAGTGTGGGCTTTTCCGGAGAAACACATTTGATACTTTCGCCCTGCTTTGCTATCTACGTATTTGATATCCACTGAGCCTGCCCCATCCTGCAGCTTCATTTGTACAGGGATCCATCACTTGACGTTGCCCTGACTTGTTTGAACAGAGGTTGGCAAAGTAGAAAGCAGCCAGATTTCCACTGGGGTGCTTGGAAAAAGCTTTTCAGTTTTTTTTTGCAAAATGTGTGGTTACCGTCAGAGTCAGCGTCCAGCTTCCACGTGGTTGAAGTAATGTGTAGTTTCTCAGAGTTATCAGTAAAACTCTGTTTTTATCTAATTCGCCTGCCAGCTCTATTAATACTGCTGACAAACTTCTAACTGTCCCTTAGCTCTGTATCCATCTGTTAGACCAAAAGAATCATCCCAAATAAGAATTCTCTTACCAGCAAATGATAAATGGGGTGATTCTTTCCTCAGATTCACATCAGTGTAATGTTCATTGGGCAGAAGTAGACTTGACAAAGCAACAGGGCCTTTTCATGGACTCTTTATAAAACAAACGAACAACTTGTTCTCAAATATTGTCAGTTTAGAGCAAAAGAAAGAAGGACTAAAATTTCGCAATTTGGTTTGAAAAGAGGTGAAAACCACCCACGGTAATGCCAAGGCAGGCGGGCGTGCTCTCTGCTCCTCTCTGGGCCCCCCAGGGCCTGGCCTCCCCTCTGGCTTTTCTTTCCAGAAGGCAAAGTGCCTGACACAAAAGAACTAGAATAAACAAGGAGAAAAAAATTAAAAAAAAAAATCAGAACTCTCTGTTCTTTTTTTCTGCCTAGACTTGTTTTATTCCTTCCTTGTTATTTCTGGAAAAATGCTGTTGTAATCATCTCTCCCAAAGTGAGTTACTTTGCTCTGTCTTAAGGGAAAGAATGCGCTTCTCCAGGCCAAAAATCAAATAAATGCCTTCAGCCCTTGTTCACCACGGTTTGCTCCACGTCAGCTGAGATAATTCCTCATTATCTGTCCAAGTCTTGATGGGCAAAACTGACTTCACACAAAAAGTAGCCAGACTCTGACTTTTAATTTTCACTTCATGCAAGTCAGTCCTTTGTGGTTAAAAAAAATAATAATAATGAGCTTAAAGCCTATCGATTTATATTTTTACTGGGGCCTTTTTCTGTCTTCTTTTAAGTTTTGCCACCGGCTGTGTTGTGAATGGGGGAAACGTGAGGTGCTCCTGCAAAGCCGGCTACACGGGGACACAGTGTGAAAGGTGGGTACAGCAGGTGGGGGTGGCGGGGCCTGCCCGCAGCTGCAGGCTCAGGGCTATGGGTGGGGCCTGCTGGGTGGTGGCTCAGCTACACGTGGTGTTGTGAGTTTTACCAAGGGCTGGAAAAATGCGCCTGTGGCTCAAGCAGCTAAGGCGCCAGCCACATACACCTAAGGTGGCGGGTTCGAATCCCCAGCCCAGGCCCGCCAAACAACAATGATGGCTGCAACCCAAAAAAAATGGCCAGGCGTTGTGGCGGAAGCCTGTGGTCCCAGCTACTTGGGAGGCTGAGGCAGGAGACTCGCTTGAGCCTGGGAGTTGGAGGTTGCTGTGAGCGTGATGCCATGGCACTCTACCCAGGGGGATAGCTTGAGGCTCCGTCTCAAAAAAAAAAAGAACAACAACAAATCATTAACATCTTTCTCTAGTCTTGCTTTGTACATGTTTCTGAAATCTGAGAATGAGGCACATCACGTCCACAAACCCACATATAGTCCTGCACACACCCCTACATGCTCAACCCTCACACACCCTGTGCACCCTTCCCCCACATGCACTCAGCCGTTGGGACCCTGCCCCTCATTTCTGCATATCTCTGCATATCCCTAACTTTCTCCCACATACCCCTACGCACTTCTCCCACCCACATACCCCGCCATGCCCCCATGTACGTAAACTTATCCCAGCACACTCCTCCCTAACACAGGCACGTCTCTACAGATCCCTCCCCCACAGACACCCCTGCTTCCCTGCACACACATACAACTTTGTACACCAGTACTCCTCCACACACACACACACATATCCTTCTATCCCCTTGCTTTACATTAGAATCTCTGTAAGTTGACCACCCAAGGGACTGTACCAAACTTGTCAACATATGAAGGTGGTCAACATAAAGACCTAGGCCCACTGTACTGATAAAGTACATGTGGTCCCTGTCTGGTCTATGAAAATTAGGTCAACTTAAGGGGGTGGTCAATGTAGGGGTGGTCAGCTATGGAAGTTCTACTGCATTTCTTGTTTTGTGTTGCTATAAAAATGAAAATTTCATCAAGGTGAGTGTCTTCATGATCTCATTCTAATGGAAGTTCTACTGTACTTTGGACACTTTCAGGATAGTGTGCCTCTTATTCATTTCTTAGTCTTTGGCCCCTAGCATGGTACTTACTGTTCACATAACTGGCGTTCAGTAATGTTTGTGAAACCAAAGAATAAATGCTGTAGAATGGCAAGAGTAAAAGTGATGATTTAGGGCCACAGAGCCAAGCTTTCGTTATTTATGAACAAATTTTCATAATTAGCTACTACACATAGGGCACAGAGAACTGTGAAGGATAGAAAAGATATTTACGACGCAGTAAGAAGATGGCGCACACTTAACCTGGAAAAGCAACAGTATAAAAAATGAATCATATGGGCAACATGTTTTTAATTGTAAAATAACTTTATTATTAAATCAATACATGTTTATTATAAAAAGGACATAATACAGGTGAGCAAAGAACCAGTGAGGCCTGCCACACCCCTGCCTAGCTGAACACATGTGTACATGTTCACACACAGTCCTATTCATCACCATCTACTCCCTGTTGGAGGCTTGCTTTATATTCTTACCTGATCATTTCTATATGCACGGACTTTTTTAAGAAAACAAAATAGATTTCTGTTTTGGCTTGTTTTCTTCACCTAATAATGTTAATAATACCTTTCCATATCATTAAGCATTCATTAATGACATCACATCAGTGAACAAAAAGTTTCCACTGAGTTCCACAGTCCCCTACTCTTGGTGCTAAAGCCCCTTTGACTCTTCTCCATTTAGAATAACACTAATAAATCTTTGGAACTAAATATCTGGGTACATGAATCCTCAAGATATAATTGTCCAAATGGATTCCCTGTGTCAAAGGAGAGGTGCATTTTTCAGGCTTTTCCTACATTTTACAAAATTGCCCTCCAGAAAGGTTTACATTCCTCCTAGAAAGAGAACCAGTGACTGTGTGCCCCGATGGATACTGAAATGACCAATGTGTTAGACATTTGCCAGTTTAATAGGGAAAATTATATATCTTTTAGTTGACATTTTTTAATATTCAGGTTATAATTTTTCATGTGCTTATTGATCATTTTATTTTTTGAATTGTTTTCTAGGTCTTTTGCCCATATTTTTCTATTTGAATGTTCATTTTTTATTTTTGTCTTTGATTTGAACAAAATTCTTTTATAGGAAATTCATCTTTCATAATATATGTTGCAAACATTCTTCTCATTTTGTTTTTTTGCTTGGTTGTTTACATTTTTGTTTTGGTTTTGCCAACTCTAGTATGCATAGTTAAATTTTCCTATAGCTGTGTCTTTTCTTTTACTCTTAGAATTTTAACTAACGGTATCAGGCTTAGAGCGGTTATATAAATGTTTATGCGTATTTTCTTTTAGTACTTCAATGGGTTTTATTTCTTACATTCAAGTCTTTATTTTGGTGGAAGTTTGGAATTTAACTTTTTTGACGATTTTGTATATCACATAGCAGATATATTTAAGGTTAACACGGAAGGCAAAAGTTAAATAGAGTTGAAATAGCCTTGTATAGTCCAGCATCCCATCTCTCAATAGCCTAGGGCCATCTTGCATGAAATATTATAATATATGTAGTGTTTGGTTCCACTGCTGACCATACTCTGTGTGAGGCACAGGGGAGGTAGACCAGCTAGGGGCCAAGTGGATTCGTATTCCCTTGTCACGTTCACTCATTGAGTGACATGGGGGACAGATATTCCAGCCATTTCTCTCTCTCTCTCATGCTCTCACATTTTCTGTCTCTCTCACAAGGACATTTAGTTGAATTCATTAAAGATAAATGTGCACGTACAAATGTCTGTCTCCACTTGGATTTTACTTCATTTTCTGCCATTCTCCCTTCTGTATCATTCCTGAAAGTATGAAACGCCTTTGAGTATTAGCTTGAGCAAAGCTCCCTTATATCTCTTATTTACAATTTTTTCCTTAATCATTCTGGCAGATATTTTTTCTGGATGAGTATTAAGACAGCTTGACTAAATTTTTTGAAAAATAGAAAATTAATTCAACCAGATTTTCTAGTCAGGTGTGACCACTGTAGACTGCAGTAATCTAAAGTGTTTAAGGACCAGGTAAGGCTCAGGCAGGTCTAAGGGATGATTAGAACCCAGACTCTGTCCTGCGGTAAAGGAGACAATTTAACTTTCTTCTAGTTTCCATTTTCCGTTTCAGCAAAGGAAACATTTCTCACAGCTGCCTCCCATTTATTATTCATTTTTTCTTTCAATGAAAAATGTATGGAGGTCCCAGTGTATGCCTGGCACTGTGCTAAGTTCTAGAGACACGAGAGCAAAGTGAGCACAGACTCTGCCCTCCAGGGCTCTCCAGCCCAGTGAGGGATAGAACTAAAAACGAGCCACTACTCCACATATGCATAAATGTATTCATGATCTATGTGTATATGACTTAATAAAAATAAAAAAATAAAATAAAATAAAAATGAACCACTAAAACAGCGGGAGATGGGAGAACTGGGCAAGAGGGTGAGGCCCTGGGGAGGGATTCCGGGCTCTGAGATTTGGGAGCATGGGACTCACACCTGGAGAGCCAGCCTGATTTACTTCTCTTTACGGTTCTCCACAAACCAGGGAGCAGAAAACAGTAACAGGCTTAACGAGACATCACTTGGCAGGCAGCTCATTTGAAGAGAGATTTTTAATTAACAGATCTTCTGTCAGCTTGTGTCTGTGATAGTCATTGTCTCGAGAAAACAAGCTATTGCTTCTTACAATTTTTTCCTACTTTTTCACAGTACATGCCATGTGGATGTCAACATTCTTTATTTGTTAAACATGGATTGTCCACGCAGGCTAGTCATCAACTGGGCCATGATAATAAATACAAGGACAGTGTGTGGAAAATAGGAATACGTGTTACCCAGGGATCTGGCTGGGCAGAGGAGGGAGGGTCTGGCCTGGGGGAGGGGTAGAAAGGCTTCCTAGAGCCCACTGTGCCCTTCACACCTTTTCTCCCTCATCCACACAGAGCCACGGATGTCAGAGACATTCTCTGCTCTTTATCTAGTACCAACGTCATCTATGATCTCAGGAAGTTTTATTCCCATCCTTTGTGCCTAGCCACTACCATAAAATGAGAACAAGAGACGAGTTATTTCTTGTCATCAGTAAGCAAGCAGGGGTTTAAGTGGAATCAAGCTTCCTGATTATTTATGTGACTTTAATTTAGAGTACTTTGTAATTGTGAATCTTTTCTGTGGAAAGTTTAGATACAGCTGAGACATCTAAAATTAAAGTATTTTAAAGTATAAATCTGGAAAAAATACAATAGGAAATGTTAAGAAAGTCCTCTTTCATGCAAAAATTTAAAATGAGACAAATCTCTAAATGTATTTCTAGGAGGAAATTCAAGGGCAAATATCTGTATCAGGAAGCAGTCATTCTTGCAACTCTCTCAGCCTTCCTCTCATAGGGCGACAATATCCCAAACAGAAAAGTAGAAGTGGGAAAAATTAAAAGGGACAAATGATGAGTTATTTCGATGTTTCTCCTTTGGGTAGGTGTGCACCGGGATATTTCGGGAATCCACAGAAATTTGGAGGTAGCTGCCAACCATGCAACTGTAACAGCAATGGCCAGTCGGGCAGCTGCAACCCCCTGACTGGAGGTAAGACGGCCACTCACCTCTGCTAACCTGCATTTGTAAAACTGGTGTCAAAGAACAACACAAATTTCCAGGAAGCCTAATACACAACTCCAGCTCATAAATTGTCCCCTTATTTTAACGACACTGGCAATACTTAGGTGGTATTTGCAGTTTGGGTGAATAACTTACTTCAATTAGGTTTTTCTTTATTAAGAAAATTGTCTTTAAAACTCAACAGTTTTTACTAAAATCAGACCCTACTTTGGTGATTTTGCGGAGACCTCCTTTTGATGTTGTCATCACACCATCTTTCTTCATGTATGTATCTGAAGAAGTGAGAATACTCTTTCTCTTATAGCCATACACGTTCTTCGATGTGGGTGGGTCAGTGGGGTCGATTTTAAACATGAAAGAAAAGATAGTTAGCGGGAGTTAGGGTGGGTTCATTAGGAACAACTTGGAACAAAGAGGAAGACCATCCTCTTCCTTCTTTGGCAGAGAATACTAATATGATTTATCAGAATAATGGCCCTGAAGTAATGTAACACCAAACACTTAGGTAAAATCTCTCAGCCTATAGTTATGGACAAGATGAATACTAACCTCGATGTATGGATTAGATCTGGTCAAGTGGGTATTCCCCAAGGAATGCCTGGCGAGTAAATGGGTGAATGCCAGTCTAGAATGGGGAATGTGTGGTTATGCCTCAGGGCTCCATCCTTGGCTACGTCTTGTTCATTTCATTTGCATTTTCAGCTTGAGTGGAAGCACAGAAAGCATGCCTCCCCAGCTATCAGATCATACAAAGTTGGGAAGAATCATTTAGTGGCCAAGAGAAAACTTCCCCTTCAGCCTCTGAAGGTTCACTGAAAACCTACTGACAAAAGGCAGACTAGTAGGAGAGGATGCATATGAAATTTTATCTTAATGTGCACAGGAGAATGATTACCCAGTAACTCGGTGAGGTCCAGATGCTTTATCCTCTTCTTCATAAGGGAAAGAGAGATGGAGAAATGTGGATGATGTCAAGTGGAATAGTAAATGATTTCAGGAAGATTCAGCGGGCGTGGAGAACATAGAATGAGACCTGATATAAAGTCTGTTGGGCCTACAGAGAAGATGATAATTTGGAACAAAAGTCTGTCTTGGTGTATTGACAGACTTGAGTCTTAGGGCCTTTGATTTAAAATAATTGGCTCGGCGCCTATAGCTCAACCGGCTAAGGCGCCAGCCACGTACATCTAAGGTGGCGGGTTCGAATCCCCAGCCCGGACCCACCAAACAACAATGATGGCTGCAACCAAAAAATAGCCGGGCGTTGTGGCGGGCGCCTGTGGTCCCAGCTACTTGGGAGGCTGAGGCAGGAGACTCGCTTGAGCCCAGGAGTTGGAGGTTGCTGTGAGTGTGATGCCACAGCACTCTCCCCAGGGGGACTGCTTGAGGCTCTGTCTCAAAAAAATAAATAAATAAATAAATAAATAAAATAATCAGCATATGAGGGTGCCATATTTGGGGGTGAAATTCCCTAACTTCTAAATGTAACACATTTAGAATACAGAAGGACCTCCACAGCCTGGGATGATGGGCCACCTCCAACCAGACTAAATTATGTTAAGGATAAGTGTGTGGTCTGATAGTTGAATGGAAAAAAAAAACCTCAACTAATAAGGTACAGATTCCTTGGTGGTCAACACTCAAGCTTGTTGGGAAAATTGCACTGATAAATCAATCACCCAGAGAAGCCTAGTACCCCGTAAACTGTTCAGGGTACTGTGGAAATTGTGAAGGAAATAAAACTGTGTTTCCTGGCTGGAAGGCTTTTACAGACTAATGGAGGAAATAAAACTGTCACCATTAAATGTTCATCTAAGAATTAGAAAGATTTTTTTTAAAGAATGAATAAAAGAAACCTGTGATTATGTGTGATAAATTAAAATGCATACAAATATATATAATTTCGAAAGTCTTTCAGTGGTAGGATCAACGGTGATGTTTTAATTTTTCTGACTCTCCCAAATTTTCCATAATGAACTTTTATTTTTAACAATGAAAAGTGGGTGAGGTTTAAAATGTATGCATATACATGCAAAGTGTGTATATTACTGGCTGCTGAGAAGAACAGACATGAAAGCCTCCGTAGCATGTCCAGGAAAACATCAAGGTCAGAGTTTTGCTGTGGCCAAGTTAGATTACTTCTCAGAGGGAAGTGGGAGGACCTGTCTGTATAAGAATGGATGGCACAGGGGAAAGAAGAGAGTGTCCAAGGATATTCCCTCAGCTTTCCTGACTGTAGCTGAGAACCTCAAAGCTCAGCTTATATGTGCCATATGTAGCGGGTAGTATGGCCCACTAACAGCATGTGACTACACCTAGCATGGCATCTGTCACTCTGTTTTGTGTGAATTCGTCTGTTTCCCCCATGTGAGTGTTAAAATCACAGGGCGGCAGGGATTCCTGTCTTGTTATCTTTGTATTTCAGCACTCAACTCAGGCCATGGCATACCCATGGGTTCTCAAAGGTGCTGGATGAATGTGTGTGCTGAGTTCTTTTTTTTTTTTT